AACTGTGGAGAGAGAGGTGAGGGAGGGAGGGAGGTGTTCACACCTCCCATCAATGAATGCAGAAAGTGCTGCTGTCGCTGGGAAATGGGCTGATCAGAACAGCACCAGCCCCACAGGCTCCCAGGAATTCACAAAAATTCAAAAAAAAAGCAGCCCAAGCCAAGCAGAGAATCACAGAATTAGTAGGGTTTTTAGCCACCTTAAAAATCATCTCATTCCAACCCCCAAATCCTTCAGCTGCTCTCAGTGAACTCTGGAAATTCCTGTTTCGAGAGAAACACCAACAGCTTCCCCGTTTGTTCACTAAAAAATTGCAATTTTCTTACAGAAACCTCTCTCAGATCTAGGGTCGGCACAAAACAAGGCAGCAGCACTTTGAGCCTGCTGAGCTGGAGTTTCCCGTGGGATGCAGAGCTGGGTTTAGGGCAGGAGGGTTCATTCCTTACCTGCTGCTGGAGTTTGGCTCTGGGTGCTGCTCCAGTCACTCCACAGCCCCCGGCCAGGCAGGATCCTGCAGCTCACCTGGAACTCGTAGGCTGTGTCAGGCTCCAGCCCCTGGAGATGATATTTCTCCCTGCTGAAGATTTCCACCTTTGGTGGGGATGAGGGAATTGATATTAAACTCCCAAGGAAACGAGAGGCTGGATTACGAATTCAGGAGAAACCCTGATCGGGGAATGATGTGAGGAATCATCAGGCCTGCAGGGCTTCAGCTGAGAAATCCCTCATTTCTGAGGGATTTGCTCAGCTCCCAGCAAAACCTTCCTTTTGCCACCTAAAGCAAATAAAACTTCACGGAATTGTGGAATGGTTTGGGTAGGAAAGAACTTAAATCCCATTCAGAGCCACCCCAGCCATGGGCAGGGACAGCTCCCACTGTCCCAGGCTGCTCCAAACCCATCCAGCCTGGCCTTGGGCACTGCCAGGGATCCAGGGACAGCCCCAGCTGCTCTGGGAATTCTATCCCAGGGCCTCCCCACCCTCCCAGCCAGGAATTCCTTCCCAAAATCCCATCTAAATCCTCCCTTTTTCAATTCACAGCCATTCCCTGTGTCCTGTCCCTCCATCCCTTGTCCCCAGCCCCTCTCCAGCTCTCCTGGAGCCCCTTCAGGCTCTGAGCTCTCCCCAGATTTTTTTTCCTTCTCCAGCAGGTCCAGAACTGCCTCATTCCCGAAGGGAATTACCGTGCTCCAGGTGCTGCTGCTGAGGGGGCGATACCTCAGCCTGTAGTGCTGTGCTTGTGCCTCATGGTGCCAGGAAAGGCTGCAGCTGGTGGCAGAAGAATCATCAAATTCCACCAAAAAGTCAGGAGGATGTGGCTTCACTGGCACCAAAACACAGAAACAAGCAGGGCTCAGAGAGGCAGCACAGCCCAGAACGGGGGGTTAGGTGGAAAATAGGATTATTGGTTTAGGCTGGATGATTTTTCCAAGAGGTTTAATGTTTTTCCAAGAGGTCCTGAATATTTTCAGGTTTTCCCCGAGGTCTGGGGCTGACTGGGAGGTGAGGAGTGGTGCTTTACCTATGTCTACCAACATGAAGGTGAGTGGCTGGGAAGAGGCATTTCCTAATTGATTGGAGGCAGAAACCACCACGGTGTAATTGGAGTTAAAATCCAGCTTGCTCAGAGTCCCAGAGCCAAACACTGGGCTGGGAGTTTCTTCTGGAAAGCAGAAGGTGTCAGTCCCATTGGAGAGCCTGGAGCAGAAGGAAAAGTTTGGTTGGATTTCTGTGGAGCAGGGAAGGTGTGGGGGGACAGGTTCCCTTCCCAGAGGGATGGATTGGCACAGGCTCTTCCCTGACCCCCGAGGGAGCTGCAGGGCACCATCAGAGAGCTGCTCCAGGGGGTAATTAGGCATTAATTACATTTACAGCCCCTCACTTACTCTATTCCATAGGCAGTGTCGAGGTAGGTGAGCCTTCCTTTGTGCCAGGTGCAGGTGGGACGGCCCCGTGTCCCAAACTGGATACAGGACACGTTCCTGGGCTCGTCTGGAGGGCCTGGAACAGAAATTCCTGTCAGTCCTAAAATCACAGCCTGCTTTGGGTTGGACCTTTGAGGGTCCTTCAGTCCAACATCCTCAGGCAGAGCAGAGCAGAGCCTCATCCAGCCTGGCCTTCAGCGTTTCCTCCTCAGAGAGGTTGGTAGGAGACATTTTCAGGGGTGCTGGGTAGGGAGGACGTTGTTTGCAGATTTATGGAGCCTCTCTCCCCTCAGGAATAACACAGAGCTGCACAATTCCAAGCAGGAATATTCCCAACAGGAAGATCCCCTCACAGCCAGCAGCAGCCCTGGCCAAAGCCACCCCTGGGAGCCCCTCCCTGTTCCCCAGCAGGGATGAAGAAGCGATGTTCCCTTACTCCCAGCCCGGATATCGATCCCACAGACGAGTTTTGCCCTGTCTCCACAGATGGTTTTGCACGTGAAGGTGTGTTTGCCGTGGCTGCTGAGCAGGAAGGTGCTGCTGGCGGAGCCTCCCTGCCCTCGGATTTGCTCGGAGCTGTTGAGGAAGATCGCTGCCCGGCACCAGGAGGCTCCTGGAGGAGCTGCCAGCCTGCAGGACACGGTGATGTTGGTGCCAGGCGGCACGGCCTGGCCACTGCTGGCTGTCACCGTCCCCTTGGCGCACACCCCTGAGGCTCTGGGGGCACTCACAGCCCCTCTCCTGCAGGATTCTGTGGGGGAACACAGAAAATTCCAGCTGGAACCCCCTGGTTTCCCTGCAGCATGTGCTGTGCTCAACCAGGGGGTCCCCAATGCCTGCTGGAGAAATTCCAGGCTCTGCACAGGAACCCCTGGGATGTTCTCTGGGAGCAGCAGCCACTCCCAGTTCCCAAAAAACCCAGGCAGCCCCAGAAACAACCTTTCATCGGGGATTAGAGAGGTGCCTGTGGCAGCAGGGCTGTGGCAGGAGGCACAGGAAGGGCCCAGAGCTGCTCCTGGAGCCCCCCTGGAGCCAGGCTGGGAGAGCTGGGGGTGCTCACCTGGAGAGGAGAAGCTCCAGGGAGAGCTCAGAGCCCCTTGCAGGGCCTGAAGGGGCTCCAGGAGAGCTGGAGAGGGACTGGGGACAAGGCCTGCAGGGACAGGACACAGGGAATGGCTGCCAGTGCCAGAGGGCAGGGCTGGATGGGATCTGGGGCAGGAATTGTTCCCTGGCAGGGTGGGCAGGCCCTGGGATAGAATTCCCAGAGCAGCTGGGGCTGTCCCTGGATCCCTGGCAGTGCCCAAGGCCAGGCTGGATGGGTTTGGAGCAGCCTGGGACAGTGGCAGCTGTCCCTGCCATGGCAGGGTGGGATGAGATGGGATTTCAGCTCCTTTCCATCCCAAACCATTCTGGGATTCTGTGAACACAGATTTTTTCCTGTTTGTGAGCTCTGCCTGTCCCGGTGCCTTTTCTCACGTAACCACCTTGAACTGGAACCCAAACAAACTCCCTGCATCTCTTGTGAACTCCAGAAAGGGAGATGCTCACTGGCACTTGGAGTAGAAGCTGGAAAAATCCTAATTAGGCTGAGTGCTTGATTAGAGAGCTAATTGCTCTGTAGGAAGAAACCCCTCTTACCTGCTGTGAAGTGCAGCACCAACCAAATTGCTGAGGGCACGATCCATGAAAATGCCATTTTGGTGCCTAGAGAGGAAGGAATTGCTGTTACCAGCTGCTGAAGAGTGATGTTATGTACAGATCTTCGTGTTTTTCTGTTTTACTAATTGAGAAAATCCCAGATGCTCATTTTGTGAGGCTTTTCTAATGAAAAGTTTCATTTAAATCCAGAGGCTGTGACTTTCAGGCTCTCAGCTCACCCAGAACCTCTTCATGTGGTGCCTTCTGTAGGTGACTCGTGAGTGCCAGGATGAGCAAGCTCAGCGTGCAGGTTCTTCAGGGAAATGTTCTGCCTTCCACTAAACTGTGAGAACAGCAAAGTGCCCTGCAGGAGTCACAGAGACCCTGCCCTTATCTCCCATACCTGGCTCTGACATCCAAAAAAACACTGAATTCCATACAACACCATGAAAACAACTGTTAAACTTCAACAGAACAATTAAGAGTGATTAATTAAGTGTAAATTAGAGTGCTTTCTTAAGTCACTGAATGAAAAAGTTAAAGTTTGGAGTTTAGACTAGTTTAGAGGACAGGAGATAAAATAGAAAATTGAAGATGTTGTCTCTTGTCCTTCTTTCTTCTTCATCTTCTTCTTCTAGAAATTTTAAAGTAGTAGTAAGTGATTAGATAGAGAATGGTGCAGTGCAGCTCACAAATATTGAGTCATGAAGTCACTTAAAAAAAATACATGTGTCATTAATTGAGTGAAAATGAGTGTAAAAATAAAAAATCTGCATATTTCAGGGCCATTTTGTGCCATTCTAACCAATTTGAGCCAATCAATAATAAGCAGAAAGTCCAAGAAAGACTGTCCAAGAAAGACTGTCAAGTCTTTTGATAATATATTAATAAACATAAGAAACAGAAACTTAATGAATGCTTTTAAATTAATTATTAATTAATTAAATTAATTATTACTTAATTAATGCTTTTAAAGTATTCTTCCTAACACAAAACTAAAATAAATGAAACTCTCTGTGAAAGAGAATCCCAAAAAACTCAAGATCCAGCATCACTGCCCCAAATACCCGGGACAAGGGGAAGAACAGCCTCACCTCAAAGCTCAGAGCTGCCAGAGATTTAACTGAGATGGGAGAAAAGGGTGAGGAACTGCTGAGGAACCACCTCCAGCTCAGAGCTGAGAGTGGAAAATGAATGGAAACCCCCTGGATTCCACATCAGTGTGATGCCTGAAGTGTTTTAACTTTCATATTTTCCAGATTCTGCATTGGTGCCTAACTCTGAACTTCACAGAAAGCCCCAGCGAGTTCTCACAGCTCAGGGAGACGAAATTGCAGCTCCAGGCCCAAAGGGTACAACCAGCAGGGAATTGATGGAGCAACCTGTGAGGGTGAGGACTGCATCACCTGGGGCTGGAATTGGACAATTAATTCATGGAGCAGAATTTATCAAAGTGTGAAACTCGTGACTCGGAGCCCAGCTCGGGTGCAGCCACGGCCGGGCTCTTGCACTGCCCAAGGTGCTCCTTGGAAGGGCTTTTAATAA